GCAGAACCTCAGAGACCTGCAGAACCTCAGAGACCTACAGAACCTCAGAGACCTGCAGAACCTCAGAGACCTGCAGAACCTCAGAATCCAAAACACAAATTATAAAACTAAAGTTGGATTTGAACAGACTGATCTAGGGGGTTAGGGTTTGGGCTGGTTTTTGTCCCCATGAGGACATCTGGTCCCATCACCTGTCTCACCTGTTTGGTCAACAACAACACTTGATGTTGCCATGGTTACCCGAAGCTTCATGAAAGCAGGTCAGACTGTGACCTGAACAGGTGACTTGTTTACGTTTTTTTCCACTGCAGCACATTAATTATAAAAAACAMACAAACAAGCAAAACTGATTTTTGAATAGAATTATTTTTCTAACAGTGATTTCTCTAACGTTTCTTTAAATACTTATTGTTGTAAAAACAGGTTTAAAGCCCTGAACGGCCTCCAGAACCCCCTGTAGCCTCGTTAGCATCAGTTAGCATCAGTTAGCTTCAGCTAGCTTCCTACCTGCTCCACGGTGGCCGGGTCCATGAACTGCAGCCGGGCCGCGTTCTCGTACTCGTCCTCGCTGTTGTTCCCGGCTCCTTCCTCCGTGTCCTGGCTGGAGCCCACACCTCCCGGTCCGGTCACCCCGGGCTGGCCTCCCCCGGCCAGAGCCGCTACCACCCCCCCGGAGCAGGTGCCCGCCTGCCGCCGCCTCTTGCTCAGCCCGGGCCCGGAGCAGCAGCCGCCGATCGCTCCGCCGCATCCCACCACACCGGCAGACACCACCAGCTCCCCGCGGGAGCCGGGGACCATCCCGCCGCTACTGTCTCTGCCGTCGGCCGGGCCCACCGGGGACACGGAGCCGACGGGCGGCGGAGAGGCCTGCTGCGGCCGGGAGCTCGCCTCGATGCTCCGCCTGTCCTCTCTGGCGGACGGAGGAGCGCTCTGGTAGGACCAGGGCGGAGGGGAAGCTCTGGGCCGGGTTCCGGTGCGCCCGGCGTGCGGGTGCGGGTGCTGGTGGGGGTCGGGCCCGCTCCGTCGATCGCTGTCATCGGCGTGGTCCGAGACGCCGACCCCGGAGCTGGGCTTCTTCTTGGGGAGGATCGTCATGGTGGCCGAGCGTGAGGCGGTCAGAGGGGGACGAGTCCTCCGTTCTGGATCAAAAGTGTCGGTTTGTTCGGCTTCCGGACGGACCGTTCGGCTCCAAACACCGAGTTAAGACCCTTACCGAACCCGAACGGTCGAAAAAACAACAGCTGGGTTCCGGTTCGACGGCGGAGGGAACAAAAACAAACAGCGTCTCCTTCTTCCCGTTCTCCAAAACATCAACACAGGCAGACGGTGCGTAGTGACGTCACATCCTGTCCGTTACGTCCGGACGTTGATCTGACCTTTAGCACAGAAGAAACTGTTCTGTTT